GCACCTCCAGTGTAGTAGGAGTCGTCGTCGACGATGGCGTTTGGCTCCTGGAATCCGTCGTCTGGTCGCAACAATCGGGTATAGAAAGGGGGAAAAGGGGGAGAAAAGCAACCGTGAGTACTCTTCCAAAGTACTCGGAAGGAAGGAGCTACACTAAATATGTATGCATTGGTATCAAATGGAAAAGGGGTAGCATATGTGGACTGAACTGCAGAATGCCAGAATAAGAGGGGGATAGCTAGTCCTATCGAAGACTATGCTTCTGGCGACCTCCATCTTGCAACATGTAGAAGAGAGTAGACGGTAAGTTCACCAAGTATCATCGTATAGCATAATCCTACCCGGTGATCCTCCCCTCGTCGCCCTGTGAGAGAGCGATCACCGGTTGTATCTGGCACTTGGAAGGGTGTGTTTTATTAAATATCCAGTTCTAGTTGTCATAAGGTCAAGGTACAACTCCGGGTCGTCCTTTTACCGAGGGACACAACTATTCGAATAGATAAACTTCCCTGCAGGGGTGCACCACATTTCCCAACATGCTCGATCCCCTTTGGCCGGACACACTTTCCTACGTCATGCCCGGCCTTGGAAGATCAACACGTCGCAGCCCCACCTAGGCACAACAAAGAGATCAGCACGCCGGTGTAAATCCTATGGCGCAGGGGTCTGGGCCCATCGCCCATTGCACACCTGCACGTTTGCGAGGGCGGCCGGAAGCAGACCTAGCCCCCTTAATATAAGAGCAGGGTTACGATCCAATCCGGCGTGCGCCGCTCAGTCGCTGATGTCACGAAGGCTTCAGCTGATACCACGACGTCGAGTGCCCATAACTGTTCCCGCATAGTTGGTTAGTGCGTATAGGCCAGTGGCCAGACTCAGATCAAATACCAAGATCTCGTTAAGCGTGTTATTTTGAAATAACCGCGGACGCCGACCAGGGCCAGGCCCACCTCTCTTCTAGGTGGTCTCAACCTACCCTGTCACTCCGCCACAAAGATCCACTCAGAGGGCCGTCAGGACAAACGTACTTTCGGACCCAATCCGTGAATCACTCGTGGGTACTCTATGAGCTGACCCGACTTTAGTCACCACGGGTATCATATAATATGTATATAAGTATATACCCATGATCACCTCCTGAGTGATGACGGTCCGATAGTATAGCATGGCAGACGGACAAGAATGTAGGGCCATTGATGATAAACTAGCATCCTATACTAAGCAATTAGGATTGCAGGTAAGGTATCAATAACTGTAGCAGCAATGACAGGCTATGCATCAGGATAGGATTAACGGAAAGCAGTAACATGCTACACTACTCTAATGCAAGCAGTAGAGAGAAGAATAGGCGATATCTGGTGATCAAGGGGGGGGGGCTCGCCTAGTTGCTCTGGCAAGTAGGGGTCGTCAACAACGTAATCGGTCGGGGCACCAGCAGTGGCGTCAGTCTCGTAGTCTACCGGAGAGAAGAGGGGGAAGAAACAATGAATACAATGCAAATAGATGCATATCGATGCATGACATGACAAGTAACGGTGCTAGGTGTGCCCTAACGCGGTATGAGGTGATACCGGTGAAGGGGGGAAACATCCGGGAAAATATCCCCGGTGTTTCGCGTTTTTGGACAGATGAATTGGAGGGGGAAAGTTGCGTGTTCGCTATGCTAGGGATGCTTGGCAGACGAACGGGCTACGTATCCGGATTTGTCTCATCGTTCTGAGCAACTTTCATGTATAAAGTTTTTCCATCTGAGCTACGGTTTATTTTATATTAATTTTAAAATATTTAAATCATTTTAGGATTTATTGAATTATTTTAACTTAACATTATCCAGAATAGTGTTTGTTGACATCAGCATGATGTCAGCAGTCAAACAATTAGTTGACTAAGTCAAACTGACATGTGGGTCCCACTATCATTGATTGATTAATTAACTAACACTTAATTTCGTTAATTAGTGATTAGACTAATCTAATTATGATTAATTAACTTAATTAATTCTTTGATTAATTAATTATTTTAATTATTATTTACTTTAAAATTCTTTTTTTAATCATTCTCGGGCTAGGCCCACCTGTCATTGGCCCCAGGGGGCCTTAGCGGGCACCGGGTTCTCGGGCTAGTGCCCAGCCCGTCAACGAATCGAGGTGTGTGCGCCGGCGCGAGTGCTAACGAGCAGGGGCCGCGGGCGTGTCCGAACAAGGTGGGGCGCGGGCACAGGCAGGGGCGCGGGTGCTGCCACGGTGGCCGGTGCGCGTGCGGGTTTCGATGAGTGAGGCCATGTCCGAAGTGGCTGGAGCAGGGGAGGGAGGAGGACCGGGGTCCTCACCGCGGTTGTAGGTCACGGGCAGTAGGGCGTGGGGAGGACGATGGGGACAACGAGGACGGAGAGGAAGCAGTCCGACGGGGAGGGGCGTTCCAGGCGGCGGTCCAGCGATGGGCGTCGACGTGGTGGCGACGGGAATCGGTGGCGGCGACGTGGTTTGCTCCCCACCCCGATCCAGATGGGATCGAGAGTGGTGGGGGAGAGGGAGAGAGCGAGTGGGGGAAGTGGGTGCATGGGCTAGGGTTTTGGGTAGTGGGGGGTTATGGAGGGGAGTGGCCGGTTGGGCCGGCCTGGTTGGCCGAAGCCCAGTGGGGGGGTTCCCCTTTTCTCTTTTTTGTATTTGTTTGTTTTCACTTTTTCTTTTTATTTATTTCCCTTTCTGTTTTAAATCATTTTAAAATATTTAGGCATTTTCTAAAAATGAGTTCGCTTCACTATAATTACCTATGTAATATTAGGCACTAACCAAACATTTTGGTTTTAACGTTTGAAAACTTCTGTATTTTGCCATATTTTTAATTTGAACTTTGAACCAGTTTTGAACTAACGAGAGATTAGCAACAGTGACGGAGGTGACGTGGCATAATTAGCAGAGTTTTACTGTCGCTTAATTATCTAGGCATTACAAAACTCCTCCACTACAAGAAATCTCGTCCTGAGATTTAGGAGGTAGAAGGAAACAGTGCGGGGTATTCATCACGCAGGCGGTCCTCGCGTTCCCAAGTGGCTTCATCTTCAGAGTGATGCATCCACTGGACCTTGAGGAACTTGATCGCTTTTTGACGTGTGCGGCGTTCATCTTGGTCGAGAATGCGGACCGGATGCTCTTTATAGGAGAGGTCCTGTTGTAATTCGAGCACTTCATGATCCACTGCTCGGATTGGGTCCTTGAAGCAACGGCGGAGCTATGACACGTGGAACACATCGTGAACCTGAGAAAGGTTTGGCGGAAACTCCAGTTGATATACCACTTTTCCACGCCTTTCAAGAATAGTGAATGGGCCAATATAGCGAGGAGCTAGCTTGCCCTTGATCCCGAAGCGGCGAGCACCCTTCGTTGGTTTAACTCGAAGATAAGCCTTTTCGCCAGGTTGATAGACCATGTCTTTATGACAACGGTCATACTGACTCTTCTGACGTGACTGAGCAGTCTTGAGATTCTCACGAATAATGCAGACTTGTTCTTCGGCCTGTTGGATGATATCCGGACCGAAGAGTGGACGTTCCCCAGTTTCTGACCACTTTAGAGGGGTTCGACACTTTCGTCCATATAACACTTCGAAGGGGGCCATCTTCAGACAAGCTTGATAGGTATTATTATAAGAGAACTCATCATACGGAAGAGATTCCTCCCATTTCTTGCGGAAGGAAATTACACAAGCTCGAAGCATGTCCTCGAGAACTTGGTTGACACATTCAACTTGTCCTTGCGACTAAGGATGAAACACGGTACTGAACGACAGATGAGTTTCCATAGCTTCTTGGAAACTTGCCCAGAATCTTGAAGTGAACAAACTGCCATGGTCTGAACTGATAACCAGTGGAATACCGTGAAGTGAAACAATTCTAGACATGTAGAGAGTTGCAAGCTGACTAGCAGTGATTGTTTCTTTGACCGCCAGAAAATGTGCAATTTTAGAAAGCCGGTCAATGACGACAAGAATATCATCATTGCCTTTATGCGATTTGGGAAACCCAGTGATGAAGTCCATCTCAACATGGTCCCATTTCCATTCAGGAATAGTGATAGGTTGCATAGTTCCAGCAGGCCTTTGATGCTTTGCTTTGATACGACGGCAAACGTCACACTCAGCAACATAACGGCCTACGATATAATTACTCACGCACGGCGGTTAGCATCATGAAATTGGTGATGGAGGATGGCTGATGATGATGATGATGATGGTGATGGATTCCCCTCTCCGGAGCCCCGAACGGACTCCAGATCTACCCTCCCGAGAAAGAACAGGGCTTGACGGCGGCTCTGTATCGTAAAATGCGATGAATCCTACTCTCTAATTTTTTTTCTCCTAAAAAGAGAATATATGGAGTTGGAGTTGAGGTCGGTGGAGGTCCAATGTGACCACTGGCCGCCGTAGAGTCCAACATTTTGGCAAAGGCGTCAGCGACGAAGTTGAATAGGAGAGGGGAACTAGGGTCACCTTGCCTGAGGCCCCGACTACTTTTGATTAGTCATTCTATATTGTTTGTTTTGTTTTCCCGTAGCAACACACGGACATTCATCTAGTTCTTGAAAAAAAACACGTATAGGAAGAGTTAAGACAAAAAAACCACTACAGTGGTATTCCTACTTCAGAAAAAGAAAATGGATCTCTTTCTAAAACACCCTTCTCTCCTCAAATAGAGGGAGAGTTGAACTCTCCATGTAGTATATTTTTTCAACCTATGCCACGTCCAGAGCTCCGCCAATGTCTTGAGTGGACGCACGTGAGAAAGAGAAGAGAAACGAGTCACTAACATTAGGATAAAAGTATAGGGAAAGTCACAGACAGACGGGGCACATCACATATTACGTAGTAGTAGTAGTTTTTTTTTTGCAGATGCCCACATACGTATATGTATTTTTATACTAATAACACATTGAATAATCATTGCGAGTCGCGACATTGTCGTCCAACAAAGATAAAACGGATGGAGTATGCTAGCACTACTTTCAAACTCTGATTTCATCCCCGATTAACGAATAAAGTCCTATCCTGAAGTCGTCCTCGTCTTCCTCGAGGTAATATGTGTACAATTTGATCTTCTCGGCCATGTGCTCGGGCGGCGGGTGGAGTTTGGCGACCCTGGCCAAGCGCTTCTTGGGCTCCTTGTCCGGGTCGTACGTGTGGAGCTTACCCGCGCGACGGTACTCCTCCACCTCGTCCTCGTCCTCCCTGTCCCTGTACAGCTTGTAATCCTCGAACCCCGCCTCGAGGAACGCAAGCAGAGCCTGCTGCCGGGCCACCTTCTGCGCCTGGGTCTCGGACGTCGCCTTGTGCTGCTCTCCTCGGTCACCGGCGCCGGCGACGGCGGTCGCCTTCACGGCACGGGTGTTGGTTCCCACTCTTTTCATGCCGCCTCGTTCTTGCTATCCACCGTACGTGTAACCGTGTAGGCTAGGGCAATGGATTCGCTGTTTAGTGGTTGTTTCCAAAATTCCGGGCTGTCCAGGAGGTTGGATTTGATGGCGGCATACGGCCATGATTCGGCTGCATTTATAGATGGTTTGCACTTGACACCGCCGGGCTGCCCCCTCTGGCAGTCGGGGTCGGAATCGTACTTGTAAATTGACCTGCAGTACCTACAGTGTCGATATCGGAATGAGAGATTTGGATTACTTCGTACAGCAGATTTGGACAACTACAGGGCACAGGCGCCGGTCGACCTATGCTGATGCCGGATCACGCGGGGCGTTGGATCTGGACTCTGAGTTATTATGCCTCGTTCAAATGCTTTTCCAAAAAGGAAAGGGAAAAAAAGATAGTAAGCGATACGCGAAGCAATCCGAACACGGCGCAGTACGTAGTCCCGGTCCATTACAAGTACGTTCCCGACGGTGTCGAGTAGTAGTACAAACTATCTATAAAAGCAGCCAAACCAGGGCCGTATGCCGCCATCAAATCCAATAGTACCCTATTCTGCCCGGGATTTATTTTTTTTAAAACGAAGGCAAAAGCTTTACCTCATTCATTGATTAAGAAGAAGAGAGTTGCCTGGTTAATTTACAAAAAACCGGGCAAAAACCGTTATATGCTTGGCCCTGAAGGACAACCAAGCCACAATCCCATAATACAAGCGGACTACTCTCAAATTATAAGACCACAGGACCACAAATAAAGACAAACAAACTCCCCCATCACGCCACCCCTACAATCAGCTTGCATATGAAATTCAACTTCATAAGTGAGCCCCCATATATCGAAGGTAACTAGAGGACCCAACAACGGCAAAGGCCACGGACCTGAGCACACCCATGATGACATGTCCAAACACTAAGAGCTATCCATCAAGCAATCGCCGACACCTTTTCTATAGCGCCACTCTTCTTGCTTCTGTACTTGTTTGATTTCTCCTTCAAGACGATAGGACGAGAGCTAGCACCACCACTTTTCTTATCCCTAGTGGCCTTCTCCTTGAGGAGACACCCAATCGTCTTGTCGAATCTAGGGTTAGCAGCGTCCAAGGTAGCGTGGAAATTGCAAATCTCTTTAGCTATGAGAGCCCCAGGCACACGAGCCAATACTCTGGGTGCGACAACCATATCACCTACAGGAACCACGTGCCCAATGGACTTGGACGAGCAAGACATTGCAACGTCGGAATCCCCCTTCTCCTCGAAGTCGAGCATCTGGCTAGGCTCGAGGGGTGGTAATGGCGGTAAAGCCACAACCGAGATCTCGAAGGGGTCCATCTTCAGTTGCTCGACGGACAGAGGCGGAGTGTCGGAGTCGACTCCCCACACAGCTCCAGAAGCTCGGGCAAAGATAACGGTGATCCGACCCCAGCACGAGGAGAGAAACGTCCATGAAGCCCACATCAAACAGCAGCGAACAGAGGAAGATCGTGGAGGCATGAGAAAACGGGGAGCCAACACCCCCGCCGCCGTGAAGCCGGCCGCGGCCGCCCGCGCCCGTCGCGCGGAAGAGATTGTCAACGCGATGCCCGGGACGGAGGCGGAGAAGACGGCCGTGCTGCAGGGTATGCTCGCGTTCATGAGGGCGGGGTTCGAGGACTGCAAGCTGTACATGGCCATGGAGGAAGATGACGTGGTGGAGGAGTACCGCCGGGCGGGCAAGATCCACACGTACGACCCGGACAAGGAGCACATGAAGCGCCTGGCCAGGGTCGCCAAGCTCCACCCGCCGCCCGCGCACATGGTCGACAAGATCAAGCTGTACACCTACTACCTCGAGGAAGACGAGGAGGACTTCAGGATAGGGCTGCACTCGTTACTAGATGAATGAAATCTGAAACTTCGTATTGGTTCATCTTTGTATGGTGCACTCTCGTCGTATTTGTCACACTTGTTCAGGTTCCTATTTTTGTCTTTATGTTGGTTGGTTGCCTTCTGTCAATACGCATACTTTGAGAAGAAAAGCAAAAGGGCTACAATTGGTTACACTTTTTTATCGTGAAACCTGCTCACCCAATTCAAGTGTTTTTTTTTTCAAAAAGAGGGGAACAACCTCGGCCTCTACATCAAGTTATGTACACAATTTTTTTATTAAAAGAAAAAACAAACTTCAACAGCCAAGTTCATTAAACCTCAACAAACAAAATGCACCACATGAAAATAAGCCTCCCGCATCACAAATCATATTAGTAGCCAACTAAATTGATCGAACAAATTCCGAGAAATCGTCTCCCATCAATTGCACCCAAAGACCGTAGGCTTCCGCTCCTCCTCCTAGTGAAGTGACGACCACGTATGCAGTGGCGGAGCTACTTGGAGGCCAACCTGGGCCATGGCCCCCCAGCTCATAGGAAAACATGCAAATATGCCTTAATATTTGGTCTAATTTTCGACTAAAATCAGCCTAAAGCAATCATGTTTGCCCCCCCTTCAGTCCATGCCCCCCCATAATTTCATCTCAAGCTCCGCCACTGCACGTATGGATCCAACTGATGGCCTTGAAGATAAACTACATTTTTTTTTGAACTTTCATTCAGTTAAATATACAATCATTATGAGTGTCTCATATGTCCCAAAGTAAAGCACAAACTCCCACATGGATCTGAGACTTCAACTTAAATATTCTATTATTTTTTGCTACTGATCCACTAAGTGTCATGCATGTTTAATTAGGATGAATTGTTAGATAAAAAACTTTAGGTGTGTAAGGATGGCAATTTTACCCGTCGACATAGATACCCATGGATATCCGACCCGAATGGATAGGATTTGGATATGATTTTGTGTCCACGGGTGACGCCCAAACCCAACCCGATTGCTCGTGGGTAGGGCAGGATATAATCTTGTACCCGTGGGTGAACCCAAACCCGACCCGATAGTATGACTTAATGGGGGAAAATCTACTATCCCTATCCCATAGTTAGATGTCCCACTGCAATTTTACACTTCGTTATCTAAAACATGCAAAAGAAATTGCATAATCCCCATCGTAGCTTTTATTAGTTGACATTCAATCCCCTTCGTAACATACTCCAACACCCTTTCCCGTACTTTTTATCTCCTTGTGAAATGACTCATCATTCTCATCTATATTAGAAAAATACTAAATGATCTTTGGTTGTTAGTGGATGTTGATTTACCATAAGTGAGGCCTAGTCTGCCACGAGGTGAAAAATGGAAGAGCTTATGTTAACAATATGTTATGTGTGTGTGTGTGTGTGTGTGTGTGTGTGTGTGTGTGTGTGTGTGTGTGTGTGTGTGTGTGTGTGGATTTTTTCATGGGCGGGCAAATACTGTCTTCATGGCTATGGATTTGATATTGTTCAACCCGATCCAAACCCGACCCATTGCCATCCTTTGTTAGACACTTGCTAGAAAAAAAATTTGATGTTAGAAACTAGCTAAGTGTAGTTTTTTGTAGGAAAAATTAGGTTTAGTTCAGTTAGTTAAATGCCCCTCAATTATTTCTCACCGACATTGGTTCAGCCGTTGGGTGTTTGTTGCATGCGGAAAAAAAGCTATACATGGATTGTCCCAAATATCTATCGTTTTTCCTTCACATTTCTGTAAACATAAAAAAAAATCTATTGTAGTGTTGCAAACGTGTAACCAAATTGTTGCGCACGGGTGGTCTTGTTGCAGTTGCCGGACGGGTCTCGGATGCTGGTTTCAACTTTCAAGTGAGCTTACGCTCGGATTTTAGTTTTAAGTGAGTTCAAAAGGCTTGCAGATCTGGCGATTTCGTAATCGGATAAGCGCAATAATCGGTGTCAGACAGGAAGCAATACAAGCTCCCAATCCGATACGAACACGAAGAGAAGAAAATTACGGTACGTAGTGCAGTTTAGCCGAAGATCCGTCCATAAAGGAAGCAACCTAACGTGAACCATAGAACAGAAGAGACACGATCAAATCCACGCATACAGGCGGCGGGGATTTTGGGAAGCAAACAATCCATCGCCTTTTTGGTTCCACACGGTAGAGAAGGAGTCAGTGCCGGGTGACGCGGCATGGACAAAGGAAGCAGCTCGAACGCGGCCGCCTCCGTCGGCGCCGGTGACGAAGAAGAGCAGCTCAAGGCGATGTACGAGACAGAGGCGCAGAAGGTGGCCCGGCTGCAGGCGCTGGTGGCGTTCGGCAAGGCGGCGCACGCGGAAGCCATGCGGTATAGCGACATGAAGGAGGAGGAGGTGGTGGAGGAGTACCGGCGGGCGGGGAAGCTGCACACCTACGACATGGACAAGGAGTGGAAGAAGCGCTTTGCCGGGATCGCCAGGCTCCATCCATGCCCGTGGGGCAAGCAGATGGCCGCGAAGGTTGCAGAGTACACGTATTACCTCGAGGAGGACGAGGACGGCTTCAGGATAGGGCTTTACTCGTTATAATCGGGGAGTGAAATCAGAGGCTGTCCCGTCCGTTCCACCTTATGTTTGACGATGACAATGTCGTGACGGTTATATATATTTTAAGACGTCGTGATGATTATATATCAAATTATGTATAAGCATGTCATTAAGCTAATACTTTTACATTTTTTACTGAATTTAGTATCAGTCTGGTCAGTAAACTAGTGCTTTCTCGCCTTCTCGGTGACGTCATTAAGCTATAGCCCATACCCGCAAATCCCAGAAGTTTTAAATGTAAGTTGGACATAAGGATATGTACAATGATAGTGTATGAATACAGATGACTCGTAACAAAGAGTAGCTTGAGGCATCTGCATTGATTTTTTCTCCTTAACGCAAGTTACTACTAGGCCTTGTCAAAGAATAGAAAGTAGATTTTAACTATACACGCATACCTATTCTTCGCTTCAACTTTTTTAACTTTATTCATCGGACCATACATTTTCTCCTCAAGTATCCGCCTTCTACCAAGGATCCCGCTACCCTATCGGAACCTATTTTTCTTAATATCCGATTCAACATGACATGTGGGGC